CCGCCCCTTTAACCCCGGCGATAGAAAGTCAACACTGGTTCCACATAAACTGTCAACATTTCCTTAAATTTTAACGTGACCCACTCATGAACCTTGTCCTTCTGCTCTGACAGGCACTTGAGGTTAGGACCTTTTAAGCCGCCTTCATATTTCTTTTCAATTTTGCTTTTTTTTTTTTTTTTATCTTACTCACTGCAGCTTTGTGATTTAGTTTGAGGAGCAGTAAGTTTTATTGTTTTATTTTTTCTGGTAACTTTAGAAAGGAAGAAAATGAGAGACACTAGACATTTTTAACTGAAAGCCAGCTCTTCTGCTGACTCAGTGAAAATGTTCTGTGTGAGTAATGTTGAATAAAGAAAAAATGAGAATTTAGCGTTTGTTTAAACTTATTTAAAAATATGCTGACAGAGAACATTATTGTGGTCAAAGATCAAATTTCAGGTCCTGAACTTGTAAGTTCAGGACAAATGTATCTGCATGGTTTCAATAATAAAAAGCATAGAGATCTAACACAGATGGAGAACTACTAGGGAAACAAAAATACTCAGCAAGGGGTTGGGCGCAGTGGTGTAGTCTATGTTTTACGGAGTATACCCATTAGAAAAGCTTGGGAATTTCAGTATACCCACTTAAAAGTGTCCAATGATGCATGACATACAGTATTATTGGGCTTGTGTCATTGTCAACACATTTGGAACATTTTATAGACACACTGAGTTGGTTCAACCTGTTTTTTTTTTGTATATTTAATACTTCTGTATTTACTACTTAATACATGAACATGTTTTGCTTTGATACTGTTTTATAAATTCTATAACATGTTTTTAATGCAAAGCCAACTGTTGTACAAAGTTTGTTGCACATTTATTCAAATATAAGCATCAGAGAAATTTGAAAATGTTCAATATGCTTAAAAATCAAAAGAAACGGACCACTGCATTGTACTAACTGGTGTACTTTGCTTTCTAAGCACAGTATACCCAGTACAAAAATGTAGACTACACCACTGGTTGGGCGGTTTGTCTCAAAGAGAAAACACGTTTGTGTTTTTGAGCAACAATTCTACCCAAGCTGACGTAACTTCATACCACAGCTTGTGCAAACTATCGTCCAATTAAACAATTTTAAAATTCAATGAAAATAATCCATAATTCCTTCAGTGGTTTAAACTCCTAAACTAAAAGTGGCACCCTTTCAACCGTACATCTGTCTCTTCCAGTGTTTCATTAAGCATGTTGATGTCCTCACTTGTGTGACCCCGTCTTTCCTCTCGTCTACATTAAAAGCCTCCTACCAGCCAGGGACTGGCAGCTGTAAACCCCACACCCCCACACCCTTTAAGCTTTCTGCTCTTTATAACAACCGAGTTTCTTCTAGACTGTCAGCCATGACACGTTTGACAAGAGCAGGACCCCAGTTGACCTCAGAGGTCAGTGTCTTTGAGCTAATAACCAACCTCCAACCTGGCAGCAAGAGATTCTTTACAAAATATGAACACTGACATCTACACACACACAAGTACCTGTCTTTGTTCTTCCAGTCATATCATCAATTGATTAGCTCTATACGATGGTGTTTATTTGTATGGATTAGCTTTTTAGATCCGACTGAGGGCTAAAGTCCACAGGATCCACTGCAGCGCATCTTAACAGCAATGAGAAAGAGCTTAACACAGCAAGATGCTTACTCCACCTGGCAGCAGCCAAATACATCGTTTAATTTCATTTTGCAAGGATGGGGAGAGGACAGGGAGGGGCGGCTGCTCTCAGCAGGAGCTCGGAGCAGGGATTTAGTGCTTCTTGCAGTCTGGGGAGCAGCTATGCTAATAGTGACAGGATTTGGGGATGAGCGATGTGTCTTATCAGAGCATGCACTCTGTTGGAGCTTTTGGCAGCTATACCTGCCGGTCCAGGTACTTATTTATTGTACATTTTGCCACTCTGTTGCCAAGCTGAGCTATTTGCAAACGTGTTTTCACATGAATACATTTAGTTTCTATACGGATTGTTTTTTTAATCACCTAGCTGTTTGAAAAACTATACAGAAACTTGTATAACTTTGTTTTTCCTCATGCCATTTCTGCTTTGCTTTATGTTTTGTCCATTCAATATTTTACCACCTGGTCGTCTGGGACATTTGTATTAGATTACCTCACCTACTTAGTTGAGATTTTTGCAGCTGTAAGTCATAATAAAGGTTTTGTCACGTTTCCTGGTTCTGGTTATGTTTTTAAGCCAACTTTCAGGCTGCAGTAGCTTTAGCTATCTGGGGTAGTTTTATTATCAGGCAGCGCGTGCCTCTTATAGACCAAGTGCAGACAGAAAGGCTGGAACCATGTTACACACTGTGATAAATTTACTACTAAAACTCAGATGTGAGGTCAAACCAGCTGGAGACCAGGGATTGGGTCATTTCCTGGACCATAGTTGTGTCTCGCTGAAAACTAAGAAAAAAGTGCCACATGCTGAAAATAACTGTGTCCTGCTATATTTTATTTTCAACATGAGGCAAAAAGCAGCCTTATTTCTTCATATGTTCAGGTGGTTTCAGGTTAACTTCTCCAGTAAGCAGGGGATGTTACTCTTAGATTTAAAATCCTGGCGGGTGTCTTGTCCTTGTGTGGCCCCAGCTGTGATCTGTCAAGGATCAGCACATTCCACCAGACTGACACACATATGGAGATCATCATCTCATGAAGACAAAACCAGAATATGCTTGACCTAACATTTGTCAGAACACATCATCTGCCCCCAAAAGCAGCTACTGTACCAGTTTTTATTAAACTTGAGTAGTGAATGGAGGTGAAAAGCATTCAAAGTCAAGAATAGTGTGACCAAGAGATGCTTGCATGATCACTAGTTCCTGTTTTATTTTACTGTGTGAACGTTTATGAAGCATTCTACTGTGATCCATTTCTCTTTTGTACGTTTCTCAGCATCTTTTTTCGTTCCTCAATTTTTGTGCTATTTTAACAAATCATTTATCAAAATGTTCAGCTCGTTCAAAATAAAGGTGCTATGACTTTTGGTATTGGTGCAACTTTAGCTTTTAGAAATATTTAGCCTTTTCTGCCAATTTTTTCTCATAGAACATGATTTGAGCTCATTTTACATCCTTCATATCTTTAGATATGTTTACAACCTTTCACATTTTGTTCTGGTTCAGCTTCTTTCAGCTTCCTTGTGCAAATGTAAACATTTTTTCAGCTCCTTTCAGCTAATTTCAGCTGTTTTTTGCTAATTTACGGTAAGCTTTTTTCAGATAATATCCACTTCTTTGTGCTAATTTCTGCTTTTTTTTAGCCTAACTGGGCAAACATGTTCTTTTTGCTTTCTTCTGATAATTTAATCTTGTTCTAACTTTTCAGCTAGCTTTTTAGCATTTTTAGCAAATTTCAACAGTTTTCAGATAAATTCAAGATTTTCATGTTAATTTCTGCTACTTTCAGCCTAATTAAATTCTTTATGATAATTTCAGCTTTTTTTCTGCTAGTTTCAGCTTTTTCTACTCTTTCAGCTATAGCTCATTTGAGGCTAATTGTAGCTTTTTCAGCTAATTCCACTTTTTTTTTTTTTTTAGCTAATTTCAGTTCTTTCCATTTTCTTCTGGTAGCTTAAGCTTCTTGTTGTCTTTTCAGCTTCTTTTCAGTTATTTTTGCTCATTTCAGCATTTTTAGCTAACTGCCTATTTTTTGTGCTCATTTCTGTGTATTTAAACGTATTTCAGCAAATATGTGTTCTGCTTTTGTCTGCTAATTTAGGTTTGTTCTTCCATTTCAGCTACATTTTAGCATGTTTTTGAGCTAACATCAGCTAACAAAACAAACAATAATTTTTCGAGAACTTCAGGATAACTTCTAAAACTTTAACTTTTATTTGTTTTACATCTTTTTTTCTCTTTGTTTGACATTAGACTCAGCAGTTTCTATCTCATTTCAGACCTCAGTTCTCTGATTTAGTTTCTTGTATTTTTTCTCACTATTGTTTCAGCTGAAACACTGACTGGCCTTCTGAGGTAACATCTTCAGGATCAGGAAAAAAAAAAAATCACGATTTAAGATAAACTGCAGCCTTTCAAAAACAATACGCCTCATTAATATGTGACCGTGTGACGCGGGGGGATCAGTGGATTTGAAACTGTATGAATCTGTGGTCTCAGAAGCCCTGAGGTGCAGCTACTCAAAGATAAAAACTACCGGCCTTGGTTTTGTTTGATTATTATATATTATATCTGAAAGGCCCGTTGTGGTGGATCAGAACCTCAGATTTGCTAATGGACACATATCAGAGAGAAATGATGGTTAAGATATTATAGTTTATGCAACATGCAATGAAAGTGATGGGGGAGATTTTCAGTAGTGACTGTAGTTTTAACAGACCATCTGACAGTTAAAAATATTAAAACAAAACATATTTTATGATGTTGGGACGACTGTAAATCATAAAACCAAGTAGTATATCAAAAGCCCCATTAACTGAGATGATTTTATCATTTAAAAGCATGGACAAAAATTACACCAAGGTTTCTAAGAGATGGGTGACCTTAAAGACTTAAAGGGACAATAAGCCAGTTATAATCATTTATAAGGTTAGATTTTTCTAATAAAATTACATTTGTTTTATTTATTTTTTTCATTCAACCTTTATTTATACAGGTTAGTCTCACTGAGCCACAAGGGCTCATTTACAAGAGAGACCTGTTATGCTTACATCTCTAAACATGAACATATATCTACAATCAATTCAGCAAGCGTAGCAGCAGACTGTGAGCTGAAGAAGACAAACGAAGCTAACAAAACAGTGCAGTGCTGCTGATTTGTGAAAATGGATCATCTGGGGAAACTTATAAAAGAAGAAGACAGGGCTAGAAACGTACAGAAAGCTTTAAACTGATAAATATGACTAGAACCCTTTAAGAACTGTACTTTTAGAGCTCATGTTCAATCCCAGACCTGACAGAAGGACATACAGTGTTACATGTTGGAGTATGTTGGGGAGTACCTGGCACCGATGTAGAGAGTCCGATTGACCCGAATGATCCTCTGGATGTGTAGAGGCTCATGCCTCAGCCATGTTCTGTGCGGTCGGCCCAGAAATACAGGGTATCGTCTCACCACTGCCAATGAATTGAACACAGAAACACAAAATTATTATTCTGTTTTTGTCTTTGGCAAAAAAAATTACGGCAGCAAAATGATTTTATAGGTTGCTGGATTGAATCCCGAGCGGGGAGCCTTTCTGGGTGGAGTTTCTGTGCATGTGCGGGTTTTCTCCAGGTACTCCGGTTTCCTCCCACAGACACAAACATGCATGTTAGGCTGATTGGTAACTAAACTGTCCCTAGGTGTGAGTGAAAGAGTGAATGGCTGTTTGTCTCGTTTGTCCCTATGTGTCCCTGTGATGGACTGGAGACCAGCTCTTGCACAGTGATAGCTGGATATGGGCACCAGTGACCCCTGCGACTCAGATAGGAAGAAGTGGGTAAAAGATAATGGATGGATGTGATCAGTGTGAAGGAGACTTGATTTAAGATCTGCATCAGATGTAAAGAAAGTTAAATATATATTTTTTAACTAATTAAAAAGACAAAATAATCCCTACATGATTGACTCGGTTTTGTTTGTTGACCGACTGAGTCCCTTCAGGTGAGCTGTTCATATAAACTTACATTCTGCTTTTTGTTGATTTGTTGTGTATGGATACGTGCTTTGACAACAGTTATGGGTGAATCAAAGAAGAGAAGAAAGAACCAAACATCAAACGGTAAAACAAAATGTTGAGTTTTTTAGAGGACATGGTATTCTTTGTGTTGGAGGAACAAAAATCCCGAGGGAGAAACATCCAAGATGAAAGAATGAACACATTTTTATCCATCATGTTTTACCAAAGCTAGGTGAAACTACAGCGAAAAGTAAAGTGTACAAAAAATCAGAGATACAAGCTACATATAAACTGAAGGGATTACAGAGGAGGACCAGCATGTTTATCTGCCTTTGACATTTACTGGAAATCATCTTTCTGGTAAAAAGAGAGATGAAGGTGAAAACAGGTGTGGAACCGACTGAGGATTAGAATAAATATGCTATTGGAAATGTAATGCTTTGTGAGCTTTGCTTATTTAATGTACATGGTTTCCTATTTGATGTTCCAAAAAGATGGGATTGGGAGTGTTGTTAAAAAAAAGTGTGATAAATAGTAAAAAACTTTTTCATCTGTGCTTTGTTTCACTATTATTAATGGAACTCATCAATATGAGTTAACAAAATAAATACAGTCAACTAAACACTCCACAAGTATCCAACCATGTTCATTCAGGTCATCTGGACGGTTTCTTTTTGGCTGAGACGTTTCGTCCTTCATCCGAAGGACTTCTTCAGTCCAAGAAGCCACAAACGAACTGGGGTCCTTCAAATACCACACCCCCATAGTGGGAAAAAAAACGTTTGCTGGTGGTACGATAGTTTCTGGGGCAATGGTTATGGTTTATGGCTTATGGTTTCTTATTCTATAAGTACTTCATCTAAGTTTATATTAGATTCTCTTTAATTAAAAAAAATATATTATAGATGTACAAAAATATACTTCTTTTTAAAAATCATATGTTGGGGTTATACTTTACACAAGTCACTAACTCTAAAAAAGGATCTGTTGTGTCCATTTAAAAAAAAAAAAACTAAATCCGAGCTCAAAGATTCCTGTGGTCAGTGAATGCAGCAGCAGCTTTAACCACCTCTTTGTTTGTCAGAGCATGGAGCTACTTTGCTAAGATTAATGTACAACAAATAACGTTTGAAACATGTTACTTATGGTGTTATTTAATAGGTTACTTCACTCAGGATAATGAAACACATTTGTAATTTTTTGCACTCTATGATCTCCATTACAGTGTGGGGGAACCGAGCAGCAGCACTTTGTACCCTTCAGAAGAGGCAGAAGGTCCGTGTGCAAATAAAATCACCACAACTTGCAGAATTTTCACATTATTTCAGATTAAACGTGAGTCAATAATTATACAAATTGCTTCTCTCGCTATCTTGGGACCTACTTTTTTCTGCTCTGATCCAGCGTAGCACAGTACCTTCTGTTTTTTGATGTGCTGTTAATCACAGCTGCTGGGTTTCATGCAGCAGATCCAGTATGGATCTCTGACAATGTCTACTTTGTATTGATGCTTGGGTAAGGTCTGGACTGTGTTGGGAAACCATCAGTCATTGTTATTGAACTGCAATCAATCAAAGTCTGGTCGGAGCTGAAGACAGCCAGACCGATGTGGAGACGTAAAGTCTGAGAGTCGGAGGGGCTGCGTCTCTTGAGGGTCTAAGCATGTTCGTGGGGAAGTCATGAATGCCAGAGAGCCTTTTCTAAACGCTGGTCTCAGTCCTGAAGGTGGCCTCAAACATCCTGACCTGAACACCGGACCTTTGTGTGAAAGGCTGTGTGACCTCCACATCTCAAACCACGACCCTCCTTCGTACCCTTTCCTCTCAATTCATCATCATGCGTGCTTGGCAGCAGCCCAGCACTTCACACATTGTGGTGTGAGAGAGTGAGGGAGTGAGAAGCTACAGGGTGAAACAAACCAGGAGGTCATTACCTTCAGTGGGGATGAAGTTGAGGGGCCCTGGTTCCTCTGGGAATGCGAGGCTAGACGTTCGGAGGACCCAACACAGCAGGACGAAGCAGGAAGAGACCACCGCTGCCATAGCAATACAACTGTGGGTTCTGTTGACGAACAAAAACAGTAAAGGACTCAATTAGAGGCAAGGCAAGAAACAGAGTATAAAACTTTCAACGAGTTTGTTTTCTACATTAACGATCTTTCTTTGTTCTAAGAGGTTTTTCATTTCTTAATCAGATGCGCTGCGAGATAAAAAAAAAATCAGTTCCGAGAGAAAGATCATATCCTCCATGTCCAGTCAGCTCTCAATACAGCCAGATCACTGTTCTGTCAAACATCACGCCACCATGACACATCAAAAACCTTCCAGGGAGATAAACAACAGCGGCTAACATCTTGGCTGAAGCAGAGAGATACGCGATACAATTGAACAGAACCACAGGGACAGGGTGAGTGAAGTGCTCAGGCATTAGCCAAGCAGCTGAGAGAGTGAGAGAAGTGGTGGTTTACTTAAATTAAATGCCTTCCAGTGACACAAATCACCCGCCTGCCAGCAGAGCTAGACTGACGGTATTTTTCATGGGGCTGCACTGAGGCACATGCAGGTCCAGAATGCAATTCATGTGGAAATACAAATGATACCCAAATGAAGTTAACAACTACAATCCATCTAGAAATTGACTCCAGCACTCAGCCTCGCAGCAGAGAGCTCTTTGAATTGCTGCCGACTTGCGCCGCAAACCTCAAAGGATAAGACGGGCTGACCGCAACCTTTGCGTTACGATACTGTGATTTTGCTGTCAGAGTGCATGTGTGACTCAGAGTGTGCTTCAGAAAGGTGTTTTTATATCAAGCCATTACTGCTCTAACGCTGACTCATTCATAATCATCTACCACGTTTTTTTTTCCCCTCCTCTTGCTCAGCCTGAATTTGTGTTTGCACAGAAACTGCATGCGCTGTAATTTACAGAATTCTAAAATGCCTTGCGTCACGTTGAGTAATTTGTTTAAAAATGTTCCATCGTTTCCACTGAAACGCAAATCATAACTTACAGCCGTGCACAATCGCAACATCTCAAATTTGAATACCTAAGGTCGGATTTCTATATGCAAAATGCTGTAACATTTTCCGATGTGCTGTGTGCCAAACTATGCAAAAACGAAATCGAAACACCAGTCAGCCATAACATTATGACCACCATGTTTATGTATTTTTTACCATTAAAACAGCTTAGACCTGTCAGAAGAGTGTTTTTTGATTTTTTTCTTTTTGGGGGGTCGGCCAAGTGAACTTTACACCATTTCACAGCAGGACCCATTTCTGCCCTGCTAACTGGGAACTGCTGCTAAAGTGCAATGCAGCAATTTAGAGGATGTGATTTATCTACAAGAATATTTAAGTGGCAAGACTCAGAGTAGCATCCATGTGAAAGTCAGTATGAGGTTTTTCCCAGCACAACATCCCACTGGAACAAGACGAGCACTGTTAGTTTGCAGTATAATGTCATGGCTTTCACAGCATTTCTGAAAGTGTAACTTGAAGATATTTGTAATCAAAAGCCCAGTACCATACTTGCCACCGTACATGTCACACCGCCGTATAAGTGGCATCAGTCCAAATATGTCTAATTAAGTGGAAAAAACATAAATAAGTCGCTTTGCCATATAAGTCACATCTCTCATGTGTCACCACTGACGCGTCGCGTTTGTTGTGTGTATGTTATCCACCGGGAAACGTGGGCCAGTGTTGTGCCAAAAATCGATTGGCTGTCAAATGGCGGCCGCGGGAGCGTGCACGGGAAAACTTTAACAAGAATTTAACAAGATTAACACTTAAAAACAATTATTTGCTCAAAATGATAGGAATGATGTGTCTCAGTCTAACTTTTCATTAGTAAATGCACTCTGACGGTCAAAACTGCTTCATTTCAAAAATCGATTCGTGGCTGTGGGAGTGCACAGAGGGAGGACTCGCTGTGCATTTCTTTGAAATTTAACAAGATAACCACCTAAAAACAATTTGTTCACTTGACATTATAGCAAAGGTGTGTCTCAGTTAAACTTTTCCTTAATAAATGCACTTTAATGGTCAAATCAGCTGCATTTCGCCAGAGCGGCGCAGCGAAATGCAGCTGATTTGATGTTTGCTCCAGAAGTTTTGAAGCGAGACAAAGGTGGCTCTCTATGGCAAGCCAAGTGTCTCATTAATAGCCACTTTTAACTAATAATGAAACACTTGGCTTGCCATATTAGTCGAGGGCCCTCTAGCGGCCGAAAACGGTAGTGTTCAATTTTCCATGTCAAAATGAATGGAATTGTTAGATCTCAGCCAAAAACTGAGTTATAAACATGGGAGAAACGTAAATAAGTTGCTTCGCTAAGTTAAGTTAATTTGTTCAAGAAACTTGTTCAAGAAACTTGTTATCCTGAGTATCATTATGAAACTGTAAAGGTCCCATTTCATACATTTTTGCATCTATTATAAGTCATGAATTCAGCTAAAATAATTAGTGCTTCATGCTAATTTTGAAGATTATGCAATTAAATATAGAAATGTAGTTATACTGGCAAGCGGTAAAGGTTGCATACGACATTGGATGATCTTTGAATTCACAAGGGACCAAACTTCCTGAACAATGTATGTGTGTATTTTTAGTTAAACTGTGTGTATGTGCAAAGAAACAGGAGAACTTATTTGTGAGATTTGAAGCTATGTGTAAGAAGTGTCCTTCAATTACAGACGAAATGTGTTCATAAGTTGCCAACAAAACAAAAACTACTGAAATCTTAACAAAATATATAATGGCTATGAAAAAAAATCTCAACTATGAGACTTTAAATGAATTATCACTAAAATAAATAATAAATTAAAAAAGAAAATTACAAATAAGGTGGCACAATGGCAAAGTTGGTAGAGCTGCTGCCTCTCAGCAAGAAGGTTGCCAGATCAAATCCTGGCCGGGGACCTTTCTGGGTGGCGTTTGTGTGTTCTCTCCGTGCATGCGTGGGTTTTCTCCATGTACTCCAGTTTCCTCCCACAGACCAAAAACATGCATGTTAGACTGATTGGTAACGCCTCTCGCACAGTGATAGCTAGATATGGGTGCTAGTGACCCCTGCGACTCAAAAGGGAAGAAACAGGTAAAGATAATGGATGGATGGATGGATGGATGGATGGATGGATGCTCTGTCAGAATTTAGAGGCAATAGTCAATAACTTCAACTCGCATTTTATTTCTTAGAGCATCAAAATGCTGTTTGTGTTTTTAACAGTTGGGATCAATTAATCATTGGTGTCAAGCAACACAGTTTTAAAAAAGACACCAACTTTTATTCTTGAATGTGTTAGAGGAGGAACAAAGACCCATGAGGAGGCTTGTGCACAGCAAAAAGTAACACAACTCCAAGGCACGAGACTCATGTTTGAGACCAGTGCAGAACAGTTGTTTTATGCTTCATTAGTTTGTGCTTGCTGTTTCCTGTCAGCTTCATTCCTATGACGGGTGTCAAAGACAAGTTTGTGGTTAAATACAAACATGTTTCTGGTTTTTACTTCAAGTGCACAGTTTGAAAAAAAAGCTGTAAGTTTTCTACAATATTAATTTGTGACTGTCAAAATAAAAAAAAAAGCTGCTAAAATTAATTAAAGGAGATGCCATAGCATTATAAAAATTGAAAAGTGCTACGTTGATCAAAATGACAAAGAACAACACTGAAAGCTTGTCTCAGTGGAAAATACTGTGACAAAACATATAAGCTCCTGTACTAATAGATGAAAATAGATAAATGCTTTTATTTACTAGGTGAAATGTTTGAGGACCAGTTCTAATTTGCATTCATGACCTGGTAAATTCAGTATCAAACTAAATTTTTTCGAAGGCGCCAGTCTTTTTGCAAACATTAGTCATAGTCATTTGCCCAGATGGCACCGAGTACCAGACAATGTCAGCTTAGCTTTTCAAAGCATCCACAATTTTGAAAAAAGGATCAAGTTAAATGATTGTGATTTATGGCACACTCAGTTGTTTACAATGCTGTTTAAGAATGATACACAGTCTTTGTGTAAAAATAAAGCGCAATGTGGAACAAAAGCTCTGTGAAATATGTGGTTTGGATTTATGGTAAAGTCTCTCAAGCCTTTTCATTTGCACCTCATCACGTCAGGCGTGACTCACTCCAACGTGAAATGGGTATGAATGGTCTCAAGTGTGTGTGTGAACACACATTCTTGTAGGGATTTTTTTTTTTTTTGTAAAGTCCAGTTTATGACTGGGAAAAGGCATATCCATTGATTTTGGCCTTCTTATTATACATACATGTGGACCACTTTGAGTTGAAAAAAAAAAAAATTATTCCACCATCATGGAGAAATACTGCGAGTTTTAGCTCACTATGCTTGTACTGACAGATGTCCAATGAGATGATGCATTCAATGTATTTTCCAAGCTCGATCTTCTAGTATTATCTGACTGTGTACGATGTGCTGTTATAGGTTTGACCACTCGGCAGTATGTAAGTAAGCAAAACATAAACTACACAAATAAGATGCTTTTTGCGTAAGTAGTAATATTAAAGGCCAAACGTTAGTAAAATAATCTGTTGTAGATGTACATTTGTACTTTCTGAGAGTTTCTTTAAAATATTTCTAGTGACTTGTGAATATTTTGAAGACAAATTCCTAATATACCTTTAACGGGGTTATTTTAACAATAACTTGGTGCTCAACTAAAAGTTTGAGTGCAATATAAAGGTGCTTTTTCTTTCTACTTAAATGGAGAATTTTTCCAAATATTATTCCTCTCTTCGTGTAAGTAGAGGTTTTTAAATCTTCCTCCAGCACTGAGATGACTGTTCTGTCTGAGGTCATCTCTCACATGCTTCCCATCTTCCCCGAAGAATACAAACAGCCATTGTGCAGCCTATCTTTTTTAATGGAGTCCCAGCCATAACCTTATCAAGACGTATAATCTTTATGGGACATTTCTCAAATTCCCCAGTCTGACACCAGAATAAAAAAGTAGGAGGCTTTGCTAATTACTCCACACCCACAAGCAAAATTACAGGAGGTGAAGGGTAAAGAGTCAC